AACTGAATTTAAGAGCTACAGAAAACCTTAAACCAATGCTTTTTGAACTGTCATGGATAATACAATATTATGTGAAACAAATATGCAGTCAATGAAAAAAATGTTGATTCATTTAAATCTGCCTGACCACACACTCTTTCTCTCTCTCATAGTTACCTTACCAGTATGATTTAAAATATTTGTTCCCATGCAGTTCCCAGCAGGAGAAAATTTTAAATATCTATATTTTGCAGATTGAAGCTTAACTGTGTTTGTGTTTAATTGTTTATGTTTATAAAATCAAAAAGCAGGTTTCTGAAAAAAAAATAGAGGAGATGATTCACCGCTTTTAACTAATGAGCGTAAGAAGGCATAATAATTAATTAATGTATTTATTTTATTTTTGCAACGTTCCAGGGGAACAAAATAATTAAACTTCGACTGATCATCTTCCGCCATCCATTCATTTCAAAGTCACAGTTTGAAACTGAAGTTCAATTTCTGTAAAAATCCACGAAAACAAACAGGAACTAATATTTATCCTCATAGCGCAATCTTGACGAAACCCGATCACTAACACCAATATGTCAAACATAAAGTGTCTAATTTCTCATGCTTTTCCTTAACACATAAAAAATAGGAAAAAGAAAAACTGCGAACATTACATTTTGTGAAGTGGTTTTATGTTCTTCGCTAACTGCTGCAGTTCAACAATGCCAAACATTCAAAACCTGTTATAAAGTTTTATATCATTTAGATTTGGTGAAACCACAATGCCACGCATAACAGCTACCCTCACGAACGTATGATTTTGACCTTGCTTCACTCTGAGCATTAAAACGTTTAATTCGCTCCGTCTGCCTTATCCAGCCCTGCTTCTGTATGAGACTTCAGTTTACATGACACAGAGTCGACGACACAAAAAGAACTCGTGGACTTCATGAGCATTTTTCTGTCCGGCTGCTCTCAGTCGGCCATGCAAACTGAGCCTAATGTAAATTATCCTGCCAAACTTTAGGCTAAATGGTAAAATGATCCTGAGTCCCTGTCACCTCCATTCATGTCAGGGACTTGCTGAAGCGTTCCTCGGCCGTCCGAGCCGCTGGGCTGGTTCCCATTACACCCTGCTCCAACCAATCTGTGCAGACGACTGTTATCAGAGGCTGAAGTGGTTGTGTTGGGGTCAGAAACTGGTACAAAGGGGAACTGAAAACCCCTGAAGAGTGACAAAATCTCAGGATGCTGAAATGATTTCCAAAATGTTCTTTAAACGCTCGGAAGAACCAAAACATCCAGTCTGCAGGGTTATATCGGCAAAATGATAGCTTTTATTGCTTTAAATTGTGTCGCAGGTCAAATATGACAAGGGATCACGAGCATTAAGGAGTTGTAATAGGACCTGCTATGCTGTTAAACTGGAGCCCAATGCCGAATGCTACAGCAAATTTTAACTTGACACCAAAGAGTTTCAACCTGAGTTTCAAATGATTCCTCTGCTGCAAGCTCAGAGGAGGACTCACCCTCTTCTCCAAACATATGAGGGGCAGAGGAGCCAAGCTAAAGGTCAACACCCGCGGACACGGAGAGAAGACATGGGGACATCAAAAGAGGAAGTCTCTAGGGACACTGAGGTTATTGACGTATTGATCAGTCTACAGTGCTCTAATCATAAATATAGATAGATAGATAGATAGATAGATAGATAGATAGATAGATTTCTGTAGTTTAGCATGTTTACATTATGTTTTCATTCAAAATTAGCTGCACACTTTCATCTCATTTCCTAAAGTCGAATGTAACTGTGCACAGTTCCTCAGTGCTTCCTTTATATTTTCCCTTCTGAGCAGCCAGACTTTCTTGTAATCTTTGGAAGTTGATCTTAAGTGTTTTTAGAAATGCTTGCTTGACAGGAGACACATCCTGGGAGAGATGTGTCTATAATTCTGCAGTCTACACAACATAGATTTTATACTGCTTTTATACTAATGACTAGTAGTTACATCATAGTAGTTACAATCAAACATTTTGACAGCTAGTTTTGACTATTAAGCACTTTTTGAGGAAAAGTTTCTGTCTAAAGCCCTGACCTTAATGCTCTTGACCATCTGCCGTTTTGTTTTGGTGTGCCTCTCCAAAATAATCATTTGCCACACTATCCTTAGTGAGTACTTCTAAGTTTTTTTTTTATATACTTCTTTTAAAACAGAAACTAATCCTATGAATGCTTGTTCTGCATATCGTTATGATGCTATTGATGCGATAAAAACCTACATTCGTCGAACGCAGTGCCTTTCACTCTGGATTTCCTTCTGCCCTTCTCGTAATTCAGTGTGCCAACGCACCGAGCTCTCCCCTCTCCTTGGTTACACTCAGCAGCGTGACTGACAGCCTGCTGGCTGTAAACAACGTGTTTAGTGATCCAAATGTAGGTAAATATTTGTCAAGCGGCCGTTCTGCTTTCTGTCAGACAAAAGCGTCTCAGTTGAAGCTGACAGCTGGCTGGTCAGGCAGCTCAGCGTTTAAACCATCTGAGAACATCAGGCTGCATATCACATCACCAGAGCCCACCTTTGATAGCTCAAGCCCCTTCTGGGTGAAATACATCTCTGATAAAGGAAGTGAACCGGCAGATGAAATATTTCAGTATTTTCTAGTACGGAACACAGGAGGAATCATTTATCCTTTATTTATTTTTTTCCTAAGCAGGCTCAGCATATTTTACTTCCACCTTTTAAACTCAGCCAGAAGTCAGTGCGAGCGTTCAATCATTGAGTAAAGCAGCCTCTTATTTTTTTATTTTTTTATTTATTTTTTTTATCAGGCCACGTGAGTCGTTATTTAATTTAATCTTTGCGTCAGTGATCCTAAACGCGATTAAAGTAGGAACTGTTCTGATCCAAAGCTCGAGGAGGTACTAAGGAGGAGGTTTGTCAGTGCGGGGTCAAGTCAGTGTGAGCTGGGGGGTGGAGGTTTGGGGGGGGGTGAGGTGCGTGTGTGTGTGTGTGTGTGTGTGTGGGGGGGGGAATAAAAGCAAACAAAAAAGTTTGACATCTGAGTCGGATTAATGGCGGAGTTCCTCTGTCTTTAGGGCCGAGATATTTTTTTTCCTGCCTTTCCTTCACGGTGAATCCGCCGCTTAGCTGTAAAACAAGAATGCCAGACGAGCCGCTCTGGAGTATTTTAGACTTTAAAGGACCTGGGCCGGATGCCTTGATTTATGAAACGGCCTGCATGAAAATATTAAATAATGATCCTGAAACTAGAGGTTTTTAACGTACTTTGAATATTATTCATCTAGTAGGATGTGTTGCAAGCAAACAAACAAATAAGCAAACAAATAAACAAACAAACCAATAAATAAATAAATAAATAAATAAATAAATAAATAAATAAATAAATAAATAAAAGTTTTATTTCGGTTTTTTGAAATTTTATTTTACGCCCCTGTCTCGCATCCTGAGTGTTTACGGTTTTTAAACTCAGCCTAACAAGTTGCCTCGTTTACAACGTAATATAAAATTTTATTTCATCTCTTTTTACCGGATCTATATCAGGGTTAATGGGTGCTAAAAAGTTAACAGCCGGTTTTAAGAGACCCACATGAGCTAAAAAGAAGAAGAAGAAAAAAAAAAGAAAAAAGAAAGACAGAAAGTAAAAAGAAGAATTATCTCACTGGTCCTGACAAGATGGAGCCATAAAGAGCTACCAGAAGACTAAGCTGTCAAAACATCTTAAAACTGCTCTTCAGATTCATTGCAGGAATGATGAATATGCAGGTCGGAGAACTGCAGCGAAATATGACGCAAAAGCTCTCCGTCATGTCCAGAAATGGCCATTATTGAGTTTGAACTTTTGCTTTTAAGCGTTAAAATTGTTTTTTAGTTTTTGAAATAGAGCTCGTTCTCAGTCTTTTTTTTTTAATGGAAATTACCTAAAAAGTTTTTCTTAAAATAAAAAAACAAAAAACAAAGATTTGTTGAAACGTGAAAGCGCAAATGAGTTCGATAAAAAAAAGCAAATAGAATTGCTTTGTTGTGCAAAACAACAACAACAACACAGTTTTATTTACCGTGCGGCTGATTACAGATTTGTGTACGTTTTATTATTTAACGTAGACAGAAGTTTAAAAAATGTGTGTATGTTTTTTATTATTATTATTATTATTATTATTTTCTACAACCAATTTAAGATATTGTAGGGCTCATTTCTCAATGGAGATTTTTTTAATAATTCGTTTAATCATAGTTTATCGAGAATTTGCGTCAGTTTCGGCGAGAAATTGCAATCGACCTTAAAACATGCAGCCTATATGTAAAAGACAGAAGGGGGAAAAGTTCCTAATTTTAAAGTCACCCTAATTAGTCACTAATTAGTGCAGTTTTCCTTGTGCAAATTAATCTAACTGGACCCAATCAAGCCGCGCAATGACACACAAATATTATCAATTTGAACCTCGCCGCGTGTGCCATCTGAAAACCCGTTAATTCAATTGTCCGACTCAGCTCCAATTTTAAGGATTGTAATGCAGATTAGCACATTAATTGCGCCCTAATTTGATTTTGATGTCCAAACAGACAATTTGATAGTTTGAGGGACATGGAGGTCAATCGTCTTTATAACCAGGCTGCGCGCTCTGCAGCTGCAGGGCCATGTTTTGTTTTTTTCTGTTTCTTTTACGCGCTGCTGTCTGGTGTGTTGCTGCTATTCAGGAGGATGCTGTTGTAGAGATGACACGAAGAGGATGCAAGGCGAATTTTATTTTCAAAAACGACTTTTGGACAGACGGAGCGGCGTTTTTTTTTTTTTTTTTTTTTTGCCCCGCCGCATTATCCCATCGAGTCAGGCGGATTGTGAGGAAGCCGAGCAATGAATGATGGCTGACAACATCCAAACGGTTAGGTGGATTTTTTTTTTCTCCTGATACAGAGTTTTAAATGTTCTACCCTTAATTATCATCTCTTTTTATAAGGAACATTTTATTTTATTTTATTTTATTTAAATCCTTGTTTTATTCCACTCACCATAGCACGGGACGAGCGCTCCGTTGTGTCCCCTCTCCGGGAGTAGTTTGTCGTCCGCGGGCGGTGTTTTGCAGGAGGACCTGTGCATGAAGAGGTGGTATTTGCTGAAAGAGCCTTGCCCAGCTGCGGCGGCATCCAATGACTGGCACTCCTGCTGGAAGGGGCTCCGGGACTTCTCTCCGTAAGCCTGACCTTTGCTGGACAGGAAGGCGGTGGAGCTGTATTTGATGTCACTAGCTGGAAATGTCCTAAAGTGGTCCGCCTGGTGATCCCTACCTTGAGCAGCAGAGGGGCTATAATATGAATCCATGGATGTCATGTCGCTGTATGGGACACAGGTCTCGGCGTTCATGCCTAAAAAAAGAGTCAAGGGGAAAAGAAGAGCAAACTTTTTTTTCCCCTCTCTCCTCTTTTCCCTCCCTCTCTATCTCTCCTCCTGAAACCCCTTCCTCTCCGTCTACCTCATTCAGATGAAAACGCGCCCGCACGCACGCATGCACGCACGGAGAGGCTGCAGCCCGCAGCAGAACCGCAGCTGGGTTTGGTTATGAAGCGATTCAGATCTTTTCCAGGAACCACTGCCGTTGACCAAACACTCCGAACTCCCCCTCAGGTTTGAGTAGAGTTACACAAACCTCCGTCTCCCCTCGGAGGATAGGACCCAGATCTCCCGGCCTCAGGGACCTCTCCCAAGTGATTATGCTGATGACATGAACGAGTTAGGTTGCTTATTTGCTAAAAAAGAAAGGGGGAGAGAGGGGAAAAAAAAGCAAAACAGGGGCGTGGGGCTCAACACATGACATTAATGTAATTTGGAGATGAATAAAAAGCGATGGGTGACGGACAGCACCGGGGCGGAGAGAGATGGAGAGAGAGCGCAATTTTACGGTTGATTCGCAATGGTTCATCAAGGGCAAATTATCCATATTCCGCAGAGTGGGGCTTCTGAATAAAACTTTGTCTTTAAAATTTTTAAAAGAAGCTTTGTATGCTTTTAGAACGGATTTTAGTGATTGGCAGCCTATTTAATTTAGGGAGAGAACAAAACATGCGGGCGCCAAATAATCTGCGATTTTAAGACAGAAAATAAAAGTATCGGTTTAATAATTTAGTCAATCGATTTATTAACGATTTTGTCATATTATTATTTTTTTTAAAAAGACCCAGACTCTGGGTCAGAATAAAAAATACATGGCGAAAGATCCATTTTTAAAAAAACGCAGCTGATCAATTCTTTAATATTAAATTGAGGATATGACGTAGTCCACTGCTCAGACCCACAGCGTGCTGTCATCTGAAGCCTCTTGTATTCTTGCACAGCAGCCAAAGGCTGTTCAGATTCTGAAAATCAAGTTGAAAGTGGAATTATTTGTCGGTTTCATGATACCCAGATGAATATATATATATATATATATATATATATAATCAGTGCGCTGTACAGTCAGTTTTGCGGAGCTCCTTAATGACCAAGTTTGGGAGCAACAATGAAAATTCATATTTAAAATGAATTTTAAATATTCATTTAAAATTGCAAAAAGCAATTCGCGTTCCTTCTTTTTGTCTCCGTGAAATTTAACCAGAAATCCACCAAATGAGCCTTTCAAAAAAAAAATTATTAGCTTTTTCAGAGGTCAGCATATATTTTTTAAACGTTTTATAAAAGGTCAATATATTTGAGCGAATTTGGAAAGAACCTATAATAGAAGCACTGTTGAACAGCAGTGATAAAAGAGAAGATGCACACAAGGCGAACTCTTCTGACAAATGTTTCCGGTCTTCACAAGACTCTCTCCTCCATCTAAGTTTCTTAATTAATACTTCGAGTTTTATACGTACACATAAAAGTTATTGATATAATCTATCAGACACATCATGTTCCAATACACGAGTTTTGTTCTATGAGTTATAAAAATGTAATATATTTTTCAATGTGTCAAAGTAAAGGAGAGAATTAAATTAAAGAATCACATAATAAAATAATTATGAAATTAAATTTACAGCAAAGTAAATACATTATTATTATTATTATTATTATTATTATTATTATTATTATTATTATTATTATTATTATTATTATTATTATTAATGGTAATTAGTAAGAATTGTTACTAATTAATAATAATTAATAATAACAACAACAACAACAATAATAATAATAATAATAATAATAATAATAATAATAATAATAATAATAATAATAATAATAATAGTTGCACTTATGCTTTTGTTGCAAACTTTTCCAAAATGCATATCAGAGTTGCTTTTATTTTTGTGTTAGAATTAAAATGAAATGTAACAATACACTGTAACATTTATTACATTTTATTTCTTAAAAGGTTTTTCCGAAACAGAACTCAGAACTCAGAGCTCTGAGATCGCATGCAGCCAAAAAGCAGTGGTGGGAGAAAAAAAAAAGATATCCTCAAAGTGAGAATCTATATGCGGGCAAACTACACTGAAGACACAAATGTATTCACATAGTCATGCACACATGGTGGACACATGCACTCATACAAGCACATGTGTGAGAGGGAGAAAAAAGGAGAGAAAGCATGTGAGTGGAAGAGGAGTTGAAAAGTGCTGATTGCTTTTCAAATTGAGCCCCTGAGACTGAGAGGTGTCCATATTTCTCCTCTTCATCCTTGCAGCAGCACCTCCAACACAGCTGTGTGTGAGTGCTTCTTGGGGAGGGGAGGCAAAATGACTTTACAGCAGTTAGGTTTCATATCCTACACTCAAAACAAATATCTAATTACTCTCAACTCTGTCCATCTGTATGTCAGCAGCGTGATTTATGGCACAGAACCAGACTTAATAATCACTGGACCAGATTTCAGTCTGCAGGAGTACCGTGTTTCTGTCCGTCTCTGCTAATCTTAGCAGTGAGATGTTGTTAGATGGCAACCGAATTAAAAAGTATTTATGTTTTTTTTTTTTTAGCATTCTGTCACATGTTGTGCATAAAGACTTCTTTGTGACCTGCAAAAAAAAAGAAAAAGAAAAGAAAAAAACCTGAACAGTCAACAGAGAAACTGGCAAAGCTGAGGTTTGTTGTTGTTTACCAGCAAGGTAACTCCAAGATGTCTGCAACCCTGGAAATAATGGTGGAAAACAGAGTGGTTTCTATTTCCTTTAGCACATTTTGAAGTCGGTTCACACAATGGTCACAAGAAAACTCTTTTATGTCACAAGAAGGAAAGACTCTGCCTCTTACCAGCTGTAATTGCTCTGTTATAGGAACCATTCATAGCATGTTCTTTCAAAGCCAAGGATGGTCAGTGAGGCGGTGGGAAGGACTGTGGTCATCACTACTTAAAAATTATTGACGTGTCAGTTTTCTGGCGGTGTGCATAAAAGCTTCCCTCCTGACAGAAGGCCCACCTGCAGTGAATAATAGAACACACACACACACACACACACACTAACACACACATTCACAAAGAGGCTATGTTCACGCAGATGCACAAAGAAGGCAAACCCTACGACCAACAACAGTAAACACAAGGTGTATCTGTTTTGGAAAAGTTGGATATTCATCGAGACCTTTAAAAGGAGATCACCACTGATGACAGGGGTTAAACAACTGAACATTGTGACTGAAGGGATTTTAAAAAAAATGAGATAAAACTTTCAGTTCCCTTTTGAAACCTGTTTGTGTTTTACTGGCTTTTACTAGGAGGTCAAATAAAATTACTGCCATGAAAAAGGCACACATGCAGAAGAAACGTTAACTTGCTCCATATGCATGCGTTAAAAAAAAAAAAAAATCATACTTTTATGGCAGGTCTTATTCAAGCCCATTTTTATTATAAAAGATCTCTTCAGTTCCAAAAAAAAAAAAAAAAGGGTTGCATGCATCCTTTATGCAAAAAACACCCCCAGTGGTAGGGGCCAAAAATGTTAAGGACGTTTAAGCCTGATACAAAGCACATATTTTCCATTTAGGGAAAGAAAATGTCAGCAGACAGTCGGCAGCTTCTTCTATAATGCTTCTCATCACCGGATTCTCCAAAACTCGATTGACTCAGCCATGACTAATTCTTTAGGAAGCCTGGAATAATTATGTTTTATTTCATGCATTTTCTGCCCTTTCAGTAGAATATATAAAGACGTTGTCTGAAGGGGTCAATGAGAAAGATTGTTGTCACAGTCAGTGACCTCAACTTGGCCTTTTATTGTAGCCTATTAGCAGATTTTGTATGCCACTAACCATACTTTGTGGATATTTATGAATGTTGGGGGTTTCAAGAAAAGCAACAACTGAAGGACATGGAAGAGACACGAGCCCACATCCTCACTGCTCTGACAACATTAAACTTTAGCCTCTCCGGTCTGACTTTAGCCTGTGGCGAAGAGGCTTGATTGAGGCCTTTGATGGGCATTAATACACCGTGGAGAGAAGGCTTTGTTCGAGAGTGGAAACAAACATAAAACTGAAGGCGGAACAGGAAAGAGAGAGGCCCACAAGCTCATCTTATTTAATTTCACATAAAAGAGTCATTCCATCTCCATGGGGTCTGTTTACGCACCTCTGAGAATGAAAACACAGACTTTCTCGATACACTGGGGATCACAACACACTGTGTGTAAGCGCAACCAAAGCAGCTCAGATGGCGTCATTGTGAGCAGGCTGCATCTTCCCCTAATCTAACAAACTCCCCATTCTCATCTAGGGACATTACAGGAACAATCGTCCTTGGAAGTTATTGGAGTTTGATTTGGTAAACCAATGTAAAACAGTGCATAAGTGCAAAAGGAAAGAAGATACTAGTTTTGAAAAAAATCTGAAAAATCAGTTTCCAATTTTATGGATTATATTCAGCCTCCCTGAGTCAACACTTTGGAGAGCCACCTTTCCGTGCAATTACCGCTGTAAGTCTTTCAGGATGTTTCTCTACCAGCTTTGCATTGGAGCAAGAATTTCTTAAATTGCCACGGATTCCTAGAAACTAGATTTAGGTCTAACATATGAAAATACTTTGATCTAAATCACTCCAACGTAGCTGTAGGTGGATATGTTGGTTTGTTGCCTTGCTGCAAAATATAAACCATTCCCCCAGTTTTAAGGTTTTTGAAAAGTCAAAGTAAATCTTTTTTCCATGACTGAGCAACATTCAACTCAGCCTGTCTTTCTTCCAACTCTGATCAGTTTTTCGGTCTCTGCTAAAGAAATCAGGATTTATGGACAAATGTAGCAGAGTTTCATCGGCATAACAACTGACATTTACAAATTGCAAAAATGCAAATTAAATATTTTACTAAGTGGAAGAATACAGAAATGGTAAAGAGAACTGAGTCCAGCACTGGATCCTGTGGCGCTCCATAAGTAAACATAAAGACTGATCATTTACACTTACCGTGATTAATTAAGGCATCCTGATCTGAAGCATTTTTCTTAAACAAAGGTCTCACTACAGCAATGTTAAAACTTGTATTAATTTATTATTTGATATTTTCATTATATATAAAAATGTCCCTGGAGGTCATACTGATGCTCGTTGCTGTATTCTGTCATTACTGACGATGAAGCTAGGCAGAATGAAGCTTTACTGAGCAGACCCTGGCTCACTCAGAAACATCTGAATCCAAACCAGAGTCAGAAACCCGAAGCAGCACCCTGAGACGTTTGACCATAAAGGCTTTAGGAGGATGTGGCATAATGTTTACACTGATTCTTTGTGAAAAAACCAGACTTAAATGCAACCAAGTCGCAGATGTTTCTTCACATTGTGGCCGGGATGTATGAATCATAATATAACTTCTGAGACTTCAGCAGACAGACTAGTATGACCTCCTTCACAACTGCTGTATTTAGATGAGCTTAAGTTTTTTTCCGCTGCTCTTTTCTCCACGTAATGCAGCCGTCCTGTTAAAAACCTTGTGCAGTCTCTGACATAGTGTTTGTCAGTGCACAGTCATATCTCTCGAAAGTGAGGCATCAGCATGCAAAATGCTCCTGAAGCGCTTTGGCTGCGGAAGCAGGAATGTTGCCTTAGACTCTGATTAATGCGCTGAATCACTCAGCAAGACTGTTGGAGCGATGATGAAGTTGAACCTGATGAGCGCAAGACTGGTTGTGACGATCAGTAGGGTAAATTTAGCTATGAATGCTTTTATTTATTTTATGCCTTTTTCTAATATTTGTATGTTTCTAAATGACTAC